TCTCTGAGTGTAGCAGAGAGTGATGGGTCGAGAATGGCTTCGTCTTCGTCATCCGAATCGTCTGAGTCGACGGATTCGAGTGGGTTCTTGAAGGACTCGACTGTAAGCCAGAATTGGACGAGTAGTGGCCGGTTTCGGCGGTCCATGAACTCCATGAAGTAGGATAGTGAGCTTGGGTTGGTCAGGATGTCTCGAAGGGTCAGGCGGGAGGCTACCGCAGAAGGGTCACTGTATGAAGCTGACGTGCTCTAGGTATGGAGAAATCAGAGCGAAACAACACCGGGAAATGTGTCATGTATTTACCGTGGCAGTCTCTCCTCCCAGTACTGCGATTCGCTTTTCCACCTTCCGTTTCGCAGTATACAACCGGTCAAGAAAAGCAACGATATCCTCAGTCTTCTCGCCATTGATCCAATCCTCATTCTCGTGATTAGCTACATGACGGTTTTTTCTCAGTATATGCGCATGCACGCATAGAACCAATGTGACTAACCGAGTAATGCCCTCGTCCTACGAATTTCGCCCATAATGTCGTTCTTGAGTCGTCGAGCATCCAGCAGGGATGAGCAGCGGCTGATACTCCGGAGGAAGGACTCGAATTGACGAGGGTCCGTACGGATGGTGATTGTGTCCGTCCGAGTAGGAGAAGTAGGGTCTACTGTTTGCACCTGAGGACGCGGGATTTGGGCCTCCAAGACGTTCCGCACCTTCGAGATGAGTCGTCTAGTATGATATACTCAGCTTATGCTAGGGATGGACAAGAACGGGTACTGACTGTTGCCTAATAGCTGCACCCGCCTACAGCAAACGAGATATTCAGACACCAAAGCGAAACACACCATATGTGCGGTCAATTTGCTTACCACCTGGTCAATCGACCGATTCCAAAAGTCAGGGTCGGACAGCATATCCATGACAGGATATAGAACACAACACGCCACAACCTCGCGTACGACAATCTTCAATGCCTTACTCTTCGCTTCCTTCTCCGGAAGAATATGCGGAAGAGCCTTATCCACGAGTCCCCGAAGATGAGCTTCCTCCGTCTGCTTCGTGAAGGTAGAAGAGAGATTGTCCACGGCAGAGTGAAGCTTTCCTCCACCTTTACTTGCGTATTTACTCGCGAGAAGCAAGTCAAGCTCTTCGGATTGAGTTAGCCTTCTTTCGAGCCCTGCACCGCGTAACGCTACTTCGGACTGTCGGAATTGTTCGATATGCGCTGTGACCTTTGGTATGATACGTTTCACGATCAAGACTGAGAGGTCTATCTTGGTCATGCGCGCGAGGAGACGTTCGAGGGAGCTATGTATCGTTCCGGAGACTGCCGTCGGGAAGGACGGGGAGCTGGAGATGTCTCTATACCATGACAAGACAAAGTCCCTCACTATCAAAATGAGCAGGTCATTTAGAGCAGACGAAATGATGGGGGACTCCGGGATAAGAGGGGCCAGCGACTGAGGGGAACGGTAAGACCATTGCGACCTCGTCAAGACCGCCTGCCATGCTGCCGGTGTAGAGAACGCTAGTGGACGCGCCGCGTGAGGTAGATTATTGTGCACTACAGGCCTGTTTGCATCCAGATAGTATGCTATCGCGATGTTGAGTCCCAAGAAGAGTATAACGAATCCGAGCAGGAGAAGCGGTAGCAGGAGAATCAGGAATACCGGGGAAGATAGGATGTGTACCGTGGCCGACGACAAGAGACCAAACAAGACGAGCCCTATGAAGACATTCCTGCTCATCCCTGCGGCCATGTTTCGTTATTGCTGCGGCAGAGTCAGACGTCCGACATGGTGAAGGCGGTAGAGCGATCCAGCACCCGAGAGCAATATTAATATTAATATTGAGCGCGTCAGTGAACTGACCTTCTATATATGGCGAAGGTTTCCCAGCACGTGCTCGCGCGTCAGAGAGGCAATTCCTTCGTCGCGTTATTCTGATTCACGTTCAAATTGCGAGAGTCTCGACCAAACCATGAGATGATACAGGGTATACTTAAGCAGGGATGAAGTGAAACATATGTGAGACTACGCCCCATGGTCTCCTTTCCTCAGCCTATTGAATTTGGGCAACATCTCCCGCAAATAATCGGTGTGCTTCTTCCTCAAGTCCGCCTCTTGCACTTTTCCTCTCCCGCTCCATATTCGCCTCTCTGCGGCGGGGCCATATATAACCGTGTATTCGTCGAGTATTTCGTCCTCTGTAGGTACCACAAGGCATCCTGCGCCAATCACGCAATAGTTCGAGATCCTGACGGTGTGATGTACCCTTGCGCGAGTTGAGACGGTGTTCATGTTCCCGATTGTTGGAGACTCCACTCCTATTTAAGAATGTTAACGGGATCTCTGGTAAAGGCGGAAGGGCGACATACGGCATCCTATCTCGAACAAATTGTCGTCGCCTATTCGCATGACTTCTTTTCGCCTGCTCTCAGGTGAATGACGCGGCCAGCAACAAATAATCTGTACAGACCGATTGACCAGAATAGCCCCTTCCTCAATTATACATCCTGAACCAATGACTATGGGTCCAGCAATAGCGAAAATCGTCGCTTTGGGATGGACAATGGTACCTAAAGCAGCTTATCAGGCGAATTCGGTCATTAGTCAATCAGCGAACGTACCGGCACCTATCGTTATGTCTCCCTTCAGCTCCACGTCTTGACAAACCACTGCTTTGGAATGTATGGTGAACTTGTCGCGTCTGACCTGAGTAAATTCAGAACTACCGCATGGAGTACGAACCCGTCCACATACATGGGTGGCATCTTGACAGAAGGTCAGAAGATTGCCCTCAACGTCAAGGACGCTTTATAAGCTTCACAGAGCCGTACGTCACGAAGTCGCACGAAAAATCTCACAGCAGTCAGTGAGAGTAGCGGATAAGACGTGCTCGGTACGATCGGGGTCGGGGTGAACGAGAGGTTGACGTTGGGCGCCTGTGCGGGCGGGCTGACCTCGACGCTGCTGTCCATGTTCCGCGCCATAAATACGGCTGGGGGCCCTTCGGCCGAATAGCTCTTTTCATCCTGTGACCTCCCCCTCTACACCCCCGAGGCCTGCTCAATGTCGTCCTCGACTGCGGCGAGCCCTGCGAAACCTTCGCCTAAACCACTCTCGACCACAGAGGGATTCATCCTGGGCGGTATAGCCGCATGTGTTGCGGTTCGTATCACGTCTAATCCGGGTTCTGGATCACCCCAGGCTCATCTTGTGTCCGTAAATATCCTCATCAATCTTACAGGTAACTTTCTCGAATCCCGCTGAAGTCGCAAAGACACGACTGCAGCTGCAAGGCGAACTTGCAAAGGACGGAGGTGTAAAGGTCTACAAGAACGTGTTCGACGTGTTCGCAAAGACATGGCGGAACGAAGGTGTGAAGGGAATTCAGAGAGGTCTTGGTCCTGCGGTACGTTCGTGTGCTTATGACGTGCCGATGACTCCCCCCTGACAGGTCCTTGTTCGAACAGTACTGCTATCAAGTAAGAAGCACTTCACGAATGGCTTCTCCATTCCCGCGTTAACTCCGATGCTCATCTTAGATCTTACTGAACGGCTCTCGTCTCGGTGAGTCCTTAGACTGACAACCGTAAAGGGGGGACGTGTTCCAACCGCACTCTTCAGGGTTCTATGAACCGTTCCGGCATGCGCTGAACCGAACGGTGGGATTGGACCCGTCCACTCAAATGCCCGTCACCTCAGTCATCGCAGGTGCAGCAAGTGGTGCAGTAGGAGGTACGTTTGTCCCCCTATTGTTCCCCTTCATGCATTCTTATTGCGTGCGGCGTAGCGGTTCTGGGTAACCCATTGTTCATGGTAAAGGCCCGGATGCAGGTACGCCCTCACCCGCGCAGAAAGTGACACGGAGGCTCACTCATCGACATTCAGGCATATTCCCCAGCATTACCCGTAGGCGCACAACATTACTACAGAAACTCTTTCCATGCTCTCTCGACGATATACAAATCGCAAGGATGGAGAGGTCTCGTGCGCGGCGTCGATGCTGCCATTCTTCGGACTGCTATGGGCTCGTCTGTGCAATTGCCGACGTACAATTGGACAAAGAAACAGCTCGTGAAACACGGGATTTCCTCGCCTGATAGTATATGGACATACCTTGCGAGTAGTTCTGTGTCTGGAATCTGCGTTGTGCGTACTCGTGTTTGAGATCACACGCGACAGTCAAGCTAATGTTTCTTATAGCTCATTATGATGCAACCTGCCGATACGGTAAGTAGCGTTCGAGCATTTTCTTGATTTCGGGGCAACTGAATAATATGCGATAATCCCTAGACCCTTACACGGATGTACAACCAACCTACGAAACTCCTACCAGATGGTAGACATGTCGGTGTATTGTACAAGAACCCAATAGATTGTCTCTGGAAGACGTTCAAAACGGAGGGAGTATTCGGGTGGTACAAAGGTATATCTCTGGACACCCCTTTTCCACTCAATCTATCTTGACGCGTCTCTCCTTTCAGGCTCGACAGCACATTTCCTGCGGATAGCACCACACACGTAAGTCTCAATATTACTTCAAAGAACGAAATCTTTATTCGACTTGTCACGTAGAATCATTACCCTAACAGCGAACGACGTCATTATCAACCTATACAGACGATTCAGGGACCGTAACCTCGACACCGACTCATGAACTCTCTCCCCCTCTCTCCCTCCTCTCCTTCGGCCCTGTTTCTGCCAGTCTATCTACACAGCATCTACTACCTTATCACGACTTAGAGAGGCCTAGGCTTGAGGGACTATCTTCTTGGTTTGTTCGTGTTCGAGGATTTGATCTTATATCTCCTTGCTTAGGTTCGTCTTCTTGCATAGCACATCACACACACGTTTGGTTCGACTATCTCGTAGGTAGAGTAGAGGAGTGTAGCTAGCTTGGCATAGTGTTGTTAGAGGTAGAGCAAAGAGGTGGATGGCCATGATGCTCCTGGTATATTTGGTGACAGATATCGTTCATATGCTTAGTCAAATCGGTGTCCGGACCCCATAGCTCAGTGGTAGAGCGTGAGATTCCAGTGCCAGACGATCCCTCGCAGTTGAACAAATTTAACAGCAATAATCGGCTCCTCAAGGTCATCCGTTCAATCCGGGTTGGGGTCATTCTTTCTCTTTTTCGCTTCGAATTAGACCTGAGATGTCGAAATATATACTAGTTGTTAATTCGGGTAACGCTTTTCTGTAAAATCACGTCGACGGGCGAACGGCACCGGGGTGTATACAACCGTCAACTGTGACTCAATTGAAGCTTGAAGTCCTTCGATTGCAGGAACGCGAGCACGTGACATTCTGATTATATCTGGCGTCTCCTCGATCGGACGCTCAGCACAGGGTAAGTCAGGCAATTTCTGGGGCAAAAATTCAGGAAGATACTGTGGCAGAATGTCAAACATTCTAGTGCAATTTCTACGAAGATGATTTCATGAAAGAGTTTTTGAAAATATACTGCAAAATCTTGCCCAAAGAAACAAGTCAGTAAGGCTGAAAAATCACTATCGGTGAAATCGCAAATTTGGGTGAGACTACAATCTCTTCAGTCGAGTATTTCTTAACATTTACTAATTTATTTCAAGAATGGAGATATTGCAAAATATTGTGCGACATTCTTTGAGAATATCTTCAAGCTAGAAATTGCCATAGAAAGCCTGACCCTCTATGTTAATTTTTTGGCACTTTCTTTGATGCAGAAATTCCCTGGCTTACCCTGTGCAGGCTGCTCAAGCTCAGTGCTGGCAGTTCTTCCTTGTTGTCATTCTACATAGCTCTCAATGTGATGAAAGCCTAGTACGCTGATGACTGTGGAATGTACAGAACCCGACGCATGGTTTGGTAGCTGACGGCAGTTCACCTCTGCTGCAACTGATTGTATGTACTTAGATATTGAGACTTACGTTTAATTGAACGCTTGCGATTGCTCCGGCCTTCCTGGCTCCCACGTTCGAGGGGAAATTGAAATTCACCCTCTTCAGCTGTCTGTGGACTGTTGGACATTTATACAAGGCATGATGATGAGGTGAGTATTACTACATGGCTTACTGTACGTGTCGTGGCCATGGTCACTGAAAAGAAGTCAGTGCAATCAACGACTGCAATGTGAATACCTGCACCGTCTACCAATTCGTATCAACAGGCTATTCCAGCAATGAACATATGCCGATACCGATGACAATAACATTGAACCACCGAGGACCCCTCCTTTGAAGATGTCTGCGGCACTGCAGGCCGCCGCAGAGTTCCTGAATGACAGAGCACCAGAGGCTCCTCCCGGAATATACAATCCAGATAAGGGCATTGGGCTCTGGGTGTATGGTCATCTCTGCTCTGATGACTGGCTGCGATCTTGGGCAGCATTCAACCGCATGCCCTCAGATATTATCGCAAACCATCGATGACATAAAATGACATGTTGCTTAGGCGGAATGCCCATTAGCCACAGCCCGTCCATCGATTCTTGTGCGAGGATTGGGAGGATAAGTTCTTCGCGACGCATCGACGAAATATATACCCACTGTGGTGATTTTTTACGTGGCTATAAACCTCTCAGTGGACGAGATCAAGCAGGCTGATGACTCGGAGCTGGTAGATGCGCTTATGACGAAATTGAACTAGGGGCTACCTGACACACTAACAATGGAACTTGAAGGCCTCAACATCCAAGCAAGCTGGATACGTATTGCAAAGTGTTGAGATGTTCATTTGGACTTCATGATACAAATGTTTCTGCTGTGACAGTGTATCTATGTCTGTACGTGGGTCAACAACATTCAAATCTCTGTTGTCCCTGATGCCGTCACGGTTAGACAGCCTCCCGGCCATTCCTTGGTTCTCCTCTGATTTTTTGTGGCACAATCTAATCATTTCCACTTTCCAAGTTTGTTCACTGGATTGGGGGAGTAATACAGAAATTGGATGGTTGCCTATTAGAAATCAAGACAGTTGTACATAGACAATGTGACAAACTCAGGGCTGTGAAGACACTTGGTCTAACCTAAGTCACAAAGGACAAAGAC